CGCTGACAGCCTCTCCCCCAGGTATCAATCTGCACATCAGTTTTTTATTCCTGGCTGAGGGAAGGGCTGTCAAGGTTGCAGCTACACTGTCATCTTCATCTAAACTGCCAGCTGCCCTTCATCGCTTAAAGACCCTCTTCAACACAGGCGCGCTTTGGGAGGGGACCACCGCGTTGGAGGCAAGGAGACAGCAGCAAAATTTCATTTGCTCTGGAGCTGCCCTGGGCTTGATGGATTTGCTGTCATTTGTCAGGGCACTCATAAATAAACAAGAGGCTCCATGCGGCAGGTTCAGCCCCACTGCTGCTCCAGCCGGCTCCCTGCAGCCCTGCGCTGTTGGCCGGTGCGGGGAGAGCGGGAGGGGACCACCGCGTTGGAGGCAAGGAGACAGCAGCAAAATTTCATTTGCTCTGGAGCTGCCCTGGGCTTGATGGATTTGCTGTCATTTGTCAGGGCACTCATAAATAAACAAGAGGCTCCATGCGGCAGGTTCAGCCCCACTGCTGCTCCAGCCGGCTCCCTGCAGCCCTGCGCTGTTGGCCGGTGCGGGGAGAGCGGCAGGGTGTTGGGACCCCTGTGAGATGCAAGGCTCACCCTGGGCCATGGCCACCATCAGGGCATTGGGACAAAGTAGAAACAGGGTGGAGAAGACAAATTTGTGGGGACAGCCTTGGCTTTGGGGTTTGCTGTGGGTCCCCACTGCTGGATGCCTCTTGTGACACCCAAGGATGGGGCTGACACTAAACCACAGAGGACTTTCCAAGTCTAGTTACTGCCTGCCAGCACAGGGCCATAGGACCAGGACAGGGGCATGCTGGCACCTGCATTCTGGTGAGTGGGTGGCAAGCTGGGACAGTCTGGCCCCATGTGTGCCCCTGAAGCTGGCTGAAAGGGGTGGGGAGGGTGCATGGTGTCTGTGCCACCATGCTAAGAGTCACCTCCAGCTTTGCATGCAGCTGGCGTGTCCCCACAGTATCCCCCGTCACCCCCATCCCCTGGCTGGCCAGTGCTGTGCCATGTGGTTGCACTGCAAAGCCCTGACTGCACGTTTCTGCCCAGCAGCGAGCTGCTGTAGGCCTAAATGCTGTTTTCCTTAGTCTAAAACTGCCCTCCTCTCCGGGGTCACTGGCAGTGCGGGAGGGACCCGTGTCTGCTTTTGGCTGTGTGCTCAGGTGCAGCTCTTGGGCCAGAGCAGCTTCCAGCCATCCCCGGCTCTGGGAGGAGAGCCCTGTTGGAGCGGGAGGACGCGTGTGTGTGCAGAGTCCACAGGGCAGCAGGCAGCCCGGTGACAGGCTGCCCCGGGGTGACCTCCCCAGGGGGACGGGCAGCACACAGCAAAGGAGGGCAGTGGGAATGGCCCCACATGTCCCCAGCTGTGCCTTGGTTTCCCTGGGGACTTCTGGCTGCCTATAGCCCTCCCAGTTCAGTTTTCTTGTTGTTGGCTCCTTCATAAATAAAAAAAGCCACTGAAGCATAATCTCTACCATAATGTTTATTAAATAGTAATTTTAAAAGGTTTTTATACAAATCATATAAACACAGTTTGATTTTTTTTTTTTTTTTTTTTTTTTTTTACACTCAAGAATCACAGTAAAAGCTCTTTAAGTCCACAAGTCCTGGCTCAGCCAGTGAACGGTCAAATACCTTGAACTGCAAATCCTGGAGAAGTTCCATTTCTGTGTATAATTTCTTACTGGTTTAATTCCCATGCTCACCCCCAGCAACTTCCCACAAAATGAAATCACCCAGCACTACAGGCTGCCTGGTAGCAACATGTCCTCGCCATGGGAAGGGTGTGGAGGCAACAGCCCATTTCAGCAATGGCATTAACACCAATTTTTATTTTTTTTTTACTTTTCTCACTTTCACAGAGGGAATTGCGATCAGCAAACCTAATCTATTTGCAGAGGAGGATGCAATGAATTGAATGCACAGATGAGGGTGGTGGTTTTTTTTTTTTTTTCCTGTTGAAGTTACAATCAAACACAGTTTTCTGTGGAACAGTAAAGCACCCAGCAGAGGTAAGTGAGGTATCGGCTTTGCAGCATTATTGGCCTGCTCCTGCCCGGCAAGCGCACGCACGTGGACCCTGCCCTGTCTGGAAGGGGCGAGTGGGACACGCAGAGTGGACGCTTTGCTGGGCACATGCCAAGTTAGTGCCAAGATCAGCAGTACTCTCCTGCCCCAGATCAAGAGATATACTAACACGAGTCAGTCCCATGGAGTAAGTCACATACACGATACATACAGAGAATTCACGTGCGTGTGCAAACACAGTATTTCTGAATATATGTATATACGAACTCTTCTCTCTGTACGTCTACTAGACACCATAACATCACCTTTTAAATTATATATTTTCACCTATTGTTTGCCTAAGTCAACTTTTCTACTGTATGGTCCTTTCCCATTCATCCTTCCCCTTACCTGTGATTTGAAGGGGATAAAATCGTTGAGCAGCAACAATCCAGCTTTGAAATGGTCTGGTACATTTCCTCTTGCTGCCTCCGTTTCTTTTGTACAGTAAAATAACACCCCTGTGGAATTTGTCCACGAAGAATGCCAAAAGAAATAAGGTGATTTGAAAGGAGAATCTAAGATACATTTGCTGCCGTTTCTGTTGGATGCACAGTGTGAATTAAAAAAAATGAAGGCCTTTGTGTGTGCGTGTCTCTGCATGTGTGTGTATGAACGTGGATGTTTTGATGGCACAAGCTGGTATCTGCTTCCCCACTAACACATGCATCTTTCTTATAGTGGAGAACTTGTCTTCTCCACCCTCCCCCCTCCCCCAAAAAAAAGCTCCTAATGGAGCTTTTCATGAAACACTAAACAAATATTCCTATTCCCACTGCACTGAGGAGCAGCTGTGGCACTGTCCATGCTCATCTCCTCTCCAGATGTTGCTCGTCTCCTCAAACACCTGTCCTCCTGCAGGATGTGTTTGCAGGGGCTGTGCAAACTGAGCTTCACAGTACATCATATCTTCGGCACTCTGTGGTTAGTGAGGAAAAAAAATCCATCCCCAACCCAAACTCTTTGCTAGGCAAAATGTAAAATCAGGACATGTCAGGTGTTTCCAAAGAGCCCCTGGAAAAGCAAACCCAATGTGCTGGAAAGGTTTCTTGCTCACATACGTGCAAGCTGATAGGGGCAATCTGTCTGCACGGAATTGGAAATGAAGGCATTGGTTTGGGGCCCAGCATTTGAACTCTCTTTCTTTCTCCATTAAATTGTTTTCATAATACTCCTCTCCCACAGCACAGTGGTAAGTAGAGAGGGATCAGCTGCCAGACAATGTAGCCAGACCACTTGAAAGTAGAAGGACCAGACTTCTTCATCTGGGCTCTACTCGGTAGAGAGCAGTGAAGAGCATTTTGCTGGGGAAGGATGAAGGCCTCATTTGTTTGATACAGCACTGATCATCAGATGGAGGAAAAATACTTCTAAGGCACTTGTTCAAAATAAAACAAAACACAGCTCATAAATAAAATTTCAGGTTTCTGCTGCTGGTCAGGAGCAGCACAGCTTTGCTCCAAAGGGGGTATGACGGCAGCTGCTTGGTCCATTGGTGTTGACAGCGCCAGCTCTCGTCCACCAGCTCCAGGGAGAAGGGGAGTGTCGTGAAGGTGAGGAGGGTTGGTGGGTGCCATGGCCGGCTCCCTGGGCTGCGGACACAGCTCCAGCCTCCTTCCCTCTTAATTTTCCCTCCTTGGCACTTTGGAGAGGCCTTGGCGCTGTGCCTCAAGTCAAACCCCAAGTGAAGCCCCCTTCCCAAAGCTGTTGCCTGAGTGCTGGGAGCCTGACAGACTCTATCTTTTGTTTGCTGCAATTTTCTCCTTATAGAAAAAAAAAAAAAAAAAGAAAAAAAAAAGGACAGGATCAAGAGGGGTGGGAGATTCAAAGAAAGGCCTTCCTGATGAAGGTCTCAGCTGTTGCAATCCAAGATCTGGATTTAATAAATGGCTCTTATTCACAAATCACTTTAAGGCTCTTCAGCTTCTCTCAAAGAGGTGCTTCTACACATAGGGTTTCCTTTCTATTTTATTTCTGAATGACTTCAGAAAGCGCTGCTGTTACCATTGACACTAAGCCCAGTATTCCACCTTTTCCCCCTACTAGGAAAAGGAAAATTGCAGGTAACAACACGCTTCCATTTTCAGGACTGGAAACTGCACCTTCCAGGACTTAATGTGAGGTGCACAGATCCCTACACCAAAACGGTATCTGGACAGGGTCTAAAATGGACAGGGTCTCTGTGTGTGTGTGTTCACATTATTTCTAAAGACAGGATGGCTGAAGAAATCCCTCAGCCTTCTCAGCAACTCACCAGAGAAAGGAGGTGGGAATTAACGATCAACGTTTAGTTTCTCACAGCCAAAAGGTAAACCAGTCTCCCTCGCCACATCCCAGCCACTTGCATCAGCAGAAAATGAAGATGAACAAATAAGGGTCTCAGTCCCTCCTTGCCCAGCACAGTCCGGTTTGCGGGAATGCCTGCTCGGTCCTGTAACCTGGCGGCAGGAGCAGTGCCTCCTCCCACGCCCTCCTTCCCTCTTATGGCATTCAGTTCCCATAGAAAACAGCAAAAGAAGTAATCCCTGTCAGCCCACCTCACCGGGTGCAATGCCAAGGGTGACCCCAGGGCACCCATCAGGCCTCTGAGCAGCACTTCTGGTGGTTCATCTTGACTTTGTGCTTGATGCCGTCGTACAGCTCAAAGTTGTAGTTCTCCAGTGTGGTGGAGCTCCGTGAGGACAGCCCAGTGTACGAGCATGTGCAGTAGAGAAGCAGACCAGCACAGATGGCTCCGAGGAGGACACCAAGGGAGCTCATGGCTATGATGGTCACCAGGATGGGATCCAGGGTGTAGAGCCAGCTTTTTTCTTTGTCTAGCTTCGGGGTTCCTGGAGAGTTAGTAGAGAACAGTGTGTCGTTCCTATCCGATCCAAAGTAATCTGCAGTGGAATGGGCACTTATTATCCAGGGATCACTTTTTTTTTTCCTCCCACCTTTATGCATTTCTCACTTGGAGCTGTGATGATCTTATAAGACTATAAGCCCCTCTATGGGTATATCTCAGTAGGATTTGCTAACCCAGGTCTAGCAGTAATGTAAAGCACCAAACTACCAAGAAAGTTAGGTGCCCTAATTCACTTTTACATCTCAGGCGACGTAAATAGCATGCTAGCATCTTACCCCCACTGAAACTCTGGCCCTTCAAGTGCCACTGGGTTCAAAACTATGGAAACAATCTGTCACAGCTCCCAGACTTAATTTTCTCCATTTACAAGTCAAAATGCCACACAAGCAGCAATTAATGCTTGAAAGATCAGTTCCACTCGTCCTAACACAAATACAATATATTGACTTTGCGAGGCTGCTGGCTGTTGAAAAAGGAAAACAAGAAAAGAAAACTAATGTCTTTGTCCAGGCTCTGAGCCACCATTTGAGTATTAGTTCTCAAATGTGTTCTAGCTCCTAACCCCCATTAAAGCTGACGTTTATGAGTAATTGTAGCTTTGAAACACAAGCTCCCCCAGGTAAATTGCGCATGTGGCATTTGGGTACCAACCTGGATCATTGTTGTCTTCAAAATCTTGCTCAGAGATTGGAAAGTCATCCTCCACTCTCGGGAAGTTCACTAGAACAACAAAATGGGAAGCACTGTTTGTTTAAAGAGGCCTTTCTGGGGCATTATTGTCACTGGTCACTGGATTGCAAGATTGGCCAGAAGAAAGTAATAGCTGAACTACTGCAAGGCTCTTCCTCATGGAAGGAGAAAGAACTCTTCCTTTTCTTCCTTTGGACAAAGTAAATAAAGACTCTTGCATACTTGAGAGAACAGGATCTGCCCACTACATCACATTTCATGACCACCAAATGACCAGCTTTTAAGAAGGAAAAGTGAGTGAAAAGCAAAGAAACCAGATAACTTGAATAGCACTAAAATATTGTCATTGGTGTCTGCATAATGTCCATAATTCACCATTAACATGCTCATGGGTATTATCCTTACAACTCTGAATAGGATCTTAGTGCCTGTCATTACTTGCCACTAATGCTAGATCCATTTAGCACACTCTACTTTTCATCTTTTCCCATACATTTTACTGGGCACAGAGCTTCAGTGACCCAGTTTCTCTTTGGGTTTCAGATAAATTCACAGTAATTTGAGGAAGTCATGTATCATCATTACATGTTTTAATGCAAAAGCTAGTTGAAATGGGAAGAGTGGCAAATGGGTGTCCATATCTAGGCATTTATGTTAACATTTCTCTGATCCAGATTCCTTTTAGTGGTGACATTTCTTTATTGTTCAGCACAGATCAAGCACTAGTAGCCAAACACACATGCTGCAATCTGTCTTCCTAGCATTATCTCTACATATAGTCACCATGGCTCTTTTTCAGTTTTCCAAAAGAAAATGCCCTTTCATTTCAATCTGCTTAGATTTTTCAAAGCTGACTGTAACTTGGGGTGCTCAACTGAGAAGGCACCTCAAAATGATCAGGAATGTAGAAAATCAGGGATTACTAGAAAGCGGTAGAAGTCACACCGTTAAAATAGTTGAGGCTGAAAACCAAGGCTACTTCCTGTCTTGTGCAAAAACAGAGAAGAGTTTAAACAAGAAGAGTTTAAAGAAGTTACTTACAAACAATCAAAACTGAAGAACATAACGTGTCTAAAAAGCCATGTGCAAAGAAATTATTCAAAACCTTATAAAAGAATATTTGTGTATATTTACATGGAGATTTAGAACTTGAAAAGGCCTCCTGAACTGTCAAATCCATTTTTTTGGTATTACAGGCAATAGGATCAGGCAATCCCCACTACTGATATTTCAAGGTTTGCTTCCAGAGCAGGGGGCTCTGCTGAATGCCACACTGCCCTAGCACCACCTTACCCCTGACTGCAGTCATCCTCCATGGTGGTACTAATGATACCTTCCCAAATACCCATTCTTTGGGCAGAATTGTCTTTTGCCCTCTGCACTCAAAGGATTAAGGGATTTCTTTGAATTTTCAAGTGAATCTGGCAACAGGAACACACAAAACCCAACACTTGCCCCTCCTGACAATGAGCTCTGTGTCTACTGAGCCAGGTAATTAAGCTGACTCGAGGCTGCTGGTAGCTTGTTGAAGAAACATAGGTGCACACCATCTTCTGTAAATCCTCACTTTAGCAGTGAGTTCACATGATTTCTCAACACTTCCAGAACTGACAGGCCCAGATGGCAACATCTTAGGGCTGGGAGAACTGCCTGAGGGCCTCTTGCAAACATTTAGAGCCGAACATGTGGAAAAATAACTTGCAAAGCAGTTCACAGGCGGAGATGTCTGCTTTGCTAGTCCTCTGTCAGAAGACAAGCAGTGAAATTTGCCATCCGTGTCACCCACATAACCCTACAGAAACTGCAGGCTGCTCGAACAGGGGCAAAGGTGGAAATGGCACCACAGTCTGCCCAAGGAGCCCGTGTGCAGGCAGAGGCCATTGGAAGTCTTTTGCCTTTCCATATTGTAGCTCCTCTAAATTGTGTGTGAGAACAAACTAGCAATTTGGTGCTTTTTTATTTCCCAGGGTAGCCTTGAGGGAAAAGCCAGAAAAAACAAAGCATCAGTTAATCAACACTGTCAAAAGAACACCAGTTCTTCCAGCCTGAAAGGAAGGAGTACTGGGAAAACTTGAAAAGAGAGAACAGTTACACAAAAAGCCCAGCCCAAAATCTATTTACTCTTCTAGCAATTTTCTCAATTCCCCATGCTAATATGACTCCAAGTTCTGCCTAAATGATATCTTCCTCCCCGTCCATTCTCTTTCCTCCTCAGGCCCATGGTAAGCCCTCATTCTTCTGTTCCCTGCATACCATTTCATTGCTATCAGATTGTATGTTGTCATGCAGGGCTCTATGCTGACTTTGGAAAAATACAACTCGATGTTTCTTTTTCCATACTGAGGTTTCTCGAGTCATTAACAAAATCAGCTCTGGCTGTGTGGCTGTCTGCGGGAATTGAAGCTGGTGGGCTCAGTTCAGTTCCTAGTGGAGATGATTTCCCGTCACAGAAACTTGCCTGCTATTTGTCATCACTTAGGCTCCCTTGTGACCAATCTCAGCAATATTGTCACAAGTGGAGCAGGCCATGGAAAGGGACCCCCATGGAATGCAGTCCCTGGAAAAGTCCTGCAAGCTGCTGGGCAGAATGGGAGCATGCATCGCTCTGTGCTGTGGAGGGCTGTTTCCTTAAAGGGCAGCTTTCAGGCACAATTTATTTTGCATTTTAAAAGGAAAAAAAATATATGCTGGAGATGGGTAGGCAGGAAAGTTAAGGGGAACTGTATCTAAACAGGAGGAGCACCTTGCTCGAGTGAAAGGCCCTTTTTAAAGTGTG